GCTCCTAAATTGTATGTTGTCATTGCCCACAACTAGATTTGAAAAGTAAATCTCTAACATAAAGTAGCTAAATTAGAACTATTTTTGTTTAAACACAGAGTTAAGAGTTGAATGTAGACAATTTCTTGTTTTATATTCATGTGATGAAATGTGCACCTGCAGCAGCTGGGGAGGAGTATTTTGCCACTCAGAGTCTTCACAGAAAGAGGTCCAGATTAAGTAACCGCTCACGTCCTCAGCTGGATGGGGAAAGGGGGGAAAGATTCAGGGTAACCACATCCTAAAGTCTCTCAGGATAGACCTAGTAGATTAGAAAGTTATAGCCTTAATTTGGAAAGATTCTGTCCATTAGGTGTAAGCAAATAAAAGATTGAACTGAATTGTACCTCACTGTCTCTTCTCTTAGCTTGGCCCTGACAATTCATTAACACAGAAAAATTGAAATAGTTCTAGTCACATAACGTAGAGTTGCACAATGGGGTGTACCTATTCCAGCCAACCAAATCCCTTTCCAAGATAGTTTGCCTGGTTCTTGTTTCATAAGAAACATTCAGCATTCTGTGACAACAAAGCATTAGCTCTATGCTCAGTGGGCTATTTTGTCCCTTATCTGTATGAACTGAAGTGGTGCAGTGGTTAGAATGCAGTATTGCAGGCTAACTCACTGCTCACTCCAGGAGTTCGATCCTGACTGGCTCAGCCTTCCATCCTTCCGAAGTCAGTAAAATGAGGATCCAGATTGGTGGGGGCAATATGCTGACTCTGTGAACCACTTAGAGAGGCTGTAAAGCATTATGAAGAGGTATATAAGTCTAAGTGCTATTGCTATATTGTTCTCTAAATTCTTGTCTATTTCTACAAGGTCCTGGAAGGATAGGGTAGGGTAGGGTAGGGTAGGGTAGGGTAGGGTAGGGATAGGGATAGGGATAGGGATAGGGATAGGGATAGGGATAGGGATAGGGATAGGGATAGGGATAGGGATAGGGATAGGATCTGGAAGGGACTTTGGAGGTCTTCTAGCCCTGCCCTCTGCTCGAGCAGGAGAACCTATACCATTTCAGACAAGTGACAGTCTAGTCTCTTCTTAAAGAGATTTTTAAAAAGAGGCTAGATAGTCACTTGTCTGAGATGGTATAGGTTCTCCTGCTTGAGCAGGGGGCTGGAGTAGAAGACCTCTAAGGTCCCTTCCAGCTCTATTCTATTCTTAAAACCTCCAGTGATGGAGCGTCCACGATTTCTGAAGGCAAGCTGTAATTGTCCTCACTGTTAGGAAGTTTCTTCTTAATTCCAGGTTGCTTCTCTCTTTGGTCAGTTTCCAACCATTGTTTCTTGTCTCGCCCTCTAGTGCTTTGGAGAATAGTTTGACACCCTCTTTTTTGTGGCAGCCCCTCAAATAATCTCAATACTCTCAAATACTGTCAAATACTCAAATGACTCCCAAGAGTTCTTATACCTCTCTCATGCAATGACATTCCTATTTTGCTTACACTGAGATCAATATTGTGAGAATCAGAATCAATGATACATTTATATTTGTCATACATCTTCCTGTTACTTTTAATTTACGTATTAATCAACAACTTCATAGGGCACACATACAGTAAGAGGTCAAAGTTAAAGTACTGAACGTTAGGCCTGAGTATGTTTCAAAAATGTTTAGAAGATATATTTTGGAACGTATGAAAGCAAGGTAACTGCTTGTGTTACGCAATTTATAAAGCAGTCACATTAATTTTCAGATTAACAAAGAAAGGAGACAAAAGTGTTATTCAATATTCAACAATTAAAACATATTAAGACTGACTAACTCAATCCAAAAGAGGCAAGGTAAAACTTTTACAGATTCTAAAGTGTAGCACAAGTGCCACAGAAAGGAAAGAATTTCAAGAATATGTGTAAAATCCCACATGGGTAGCAAACAAAGGAAACAAGTTCATATTACTTTCAAGAAGGCATGTGTAATGTTAAACTGTGATAAAAAATAATCTTGGAAACTCCAAGAGTAAAGTATTAGGCAGAACCATATAGTAATGAATTCATTAAAATGAAATAATTGTCTAATGTTGCTTCCCACAACTTTCACAACCCAGCTGTGCTGTCTCTTTTCTCCAAACTCAAGTGCAGATATATATCAGCCAACTTAGCATCTACTTTAAATATACAAAAATATGTGGTATCACAACTGTATCATCTTGAATCTAACCGTAATAACAGAGGTCTCTGGAACTAGGAATCCTGCTGGAACAGACCAAAAACATATCTAGTATAGTATCCTATTTTTCCACAATAGCTAACTTCCAGAATTTTGGAAGTTTTTACCATACCCACAGAAAAAAAAAAGATTGGCATGCTATTAGATTTTCTGTTCTCCAACAGTTCATAACTAGTATCAGTTCCATAAAATAAAACAGAAGATAAGACATGGGAGAACACTACGGTTGGAGACTTTCATGAAGGTCAACACTTCTTCAGACTTGCAGCTCCTCCTTTCCTTGCAGTGAAGGAGGTCAATAGGGATATTGGGAAAGAGTCTATTCTTCAATTTCCCAATAGACTGAATCAAATTTGCTAAAAAAATTAGTTCTGTGGGCTTTTCTTCCAACACTGAGCAACAGTTGTAAAGGCCAACCACAGAATCTAGAAAAAGGCAACTACCAGAGCATTCCTCCTCGCATATATCAAAGACCCTGGTGACTTTGAATTTGAAACATGCACAACTCTATCAGCTGTGGTAGTGTGATGATGAATCCAAAGATCCCCAAAAGATATAGGTTACCTGTTACAAAACCATCAAAAAACTTCCATCCTTCAACCTGTCCAAAACATCTCTCTGGTAGCCTTACAAGTTGTAGGGAAGAGCTCCTTCATGCCCTCTTTCTCAAACAGACTTTGATTCCATTCTGACATTCAAAGAACCCTTGTAACCTTTCTTTTAGCATTTGCCTAAAAGTGCAGATACAACTTGAAGAAAGGCAGTGACATATCTGCAGACTTAAGATCCCATGTATATTTCAAATCTTCTCCTCTCCCCCATGACTTATAACTCCACCCAATTCCAACTTTGTCATTGGACACAATCCTCCTAAAGGTATAAGATTCAGTTCTAAACAAGTGTGAATAACTCCCAGCCTTTGGAAGGAAACTCTCTAGACTAGAGCCTCTTCAGCACATCTGGCCCAGAGAGAAGCAAGCCAAAATTATGCTAGATTAAGTCAAATGAGCCACACCCAGTTCCTTCAGCCAAACTCACAAGAGCAGAAAAGTTCTAGTCTTGTGACATAAACAACGGTCCGCACTGTAGAGAAACTTATTCATTGGATTACAGGACCACGGAGTACGCTATACAGCAATCGGCAGTTCCCCCGTTTATTTTCACGTGCTTAGCACACACACGCCGCCTCTTAAGTTTACACGGGGCGATCTTAGATCAGCTACCATCTCCCGTTCTGAAATGCCTCATAAAATTTCTGCGGAGCGAAAAGGAGGCCGAATCTCGCCGAAATGCTCGGAAGGAAGAGCAGCGCATATGTATGTCTTTCGATGTGCAACCTTAACCAGAAGAGCAACGTCCAACTGATCAAACGGGACTTGCTTCTCTGTAAGCGATCCGCGGATTTCCACCAGGCGTTTGCTGAACAGGTTTGCTCGCCTTCCCCAGTCTAAACGTCTCCCCTCAAAGGCCGTACATCCTTCTCCGGGTGTAAACCCACTGATGACCCCACCACCACCTACTACCCCCTTTGGGTTACGTCTTAAGAAAGGTGCACGGAAAGAAACCGGGATGTACCAACCAGAAACAGCGGCCGATTTGCCTCCTCAAAGCCGAGCGCCGAAGCTCTTCCCTCAAGAGGCTGGAGAAATTAAACCAGCTCCCGGAAAAAACAGAAACCTATACTGGGCAAGTTTTCGCGTGACATTAAAATAGTCACCGGCTCTATTAACTTAACATTCCGAAGGAAAGAAAGACAATTCCTTCTTTCGGAAACGAAAAACGATGAGCAAGAAGAGCCGGCGCAGCCAAGGAAATGGAAAATCCCTGCTTTCTCCTCAACTCGGTCTCCCAAGTTAAAATAAGGAAGGTTTGGTATTGTTTTACTAGCACCAGGTTTCCATTTAAGAGTTTTCTCTCTCGATATTTAAAAACACACCGCGTGAGATCGCAATCACCGCTCCTGCATCTTTTCCCCCGCGCATGCAAACACGTACGAAACAGCGCAAATCTCTTATTAACTCGAGCGGTTTGGGGCAAATGCGAGAAGAAATCGCTCTTCGGCAGCAGCGAAATAAACCAACCGGCCTCCTACGTAAGATAACAGTAGTAGACCGACAACCGCAGCGAGCAGCGTTTTCTATCCGCTGCCTCCCCTCCGCTTATTTTTTTTAGTATAAAATTGCTCCCATCAACAAGTGGGGGGGGGACTTAACACGGCTCAATTGCAACACTACCAGTTGCGCTTTCCAGTTTGCAGAGCAAATCAGCGGAGCGGGGAGACAGCTTTTCCATCCCCGGTCCGAACTCTCCGTCAGAAAAACTCTCGGCAACAAGTGTCGCCCAAACAGCAACCGCGGCAACGGTAAAAGAAGCGAGGAAATACCTGCCGCCTCGCCGCTGCTTCCGACGAGCCTCGGTGCCCAAGCCGCTGCCTAAAACTCGGCGCTCCGCAAGCCGAACGCACCAGCAGATACTCAGCGCGCCGCACACGAGAATCGCGAAGCTCTAGAGGAACGCAGTTATCTTGAGCCAACCGCGGTGCCGTACCTCTTGGAACGTACCATTGTTGTTGTTTTTTTATCCTTAGGAGGGTCAATTTGGGTTAAAAAGAAAAAAGAGAAACTTTTTTTTTCAGCTTTTCACAGATCACGCTGATATCTATGGATACACGTCTCTATTTTTTATTACTGCCCCGGGAAGCTAAAATGCACTTAGGGAAGCCAAGAAATGTTCTTTCTCCCCTTTTGCGGAGTAGTAGCGCCCGCGATAGTGGGCGTGACCTTGCGAAAGCGTGGACCGGCGGTAGCTTCGTCGCCTGGGGTTGAACGGGAGGGAGCTGTTGGCGGGTTGGCGTGGCAGGTAACCTGAGCGACCAGAGAGGAACTTGCCTTTGGCTTTTGAACTTGCCTTTGGCTTTTAAGCTTTGCAAATAGGACGTGGCGTGTCCTACATAGTCCAACCATCGAATGTTTTTCCCAATAAGGGCCGACACCAGTTTAATTGCAGCTCATATCCTTTCAGTTTGATTTTTATTGTGTTTTGTGTCTCTTTCTTCACAAAAGATACCTGATGAAGAAAAGGACGAATACTTGCTTCTGGAGTGCAATCGTGGTGTTCAGAGGCTTTCCCACGAGAGCGTTTTAACGGGGAGCAAGCTTCGTGCTACGCATAGTTTATGGAGTTGCCAACTTCACACAAACGCATAGCGCTGAGCTAACACCAAACACCCCCCATTAGAACCTATACAGTATGTGAAACCTACCGTGTTTGGGGTTGTACAACATATTGCGCTTCATGCTGTTAAATTTTGGTCTACAGTGCTGTGGGGAGGTAACCTGCCTGATTAATTTATGATTCACTATAATGGTAGGTTACACTGAATAAATTATCATTAATTAGATGAGCAATATCATGCAAACAGCTGATCTGTAACAATTCCAATTTTTCCTTCTGGTTTCTTTTTTTCTAGAAATGATAAGTAATAGGGGAAAAACAGGGAAGGTTACATTTGCACATGCCCCAAATGAAACTCAAAATGAACTAGCTGTCCAGAAAGAAGCCTTATCTCTAAAACAGACATGTCAAACACAAGGCCCGGGGGCCGGATGCAGCCCGCAAAGTGGTTTCATGTGGCCTGCGAAGCCATCCTGGAAACAGTGAGGGAACGGCCCCTGCTGCCTTGGCTCTGGCCCAGGCCAGCCGGGAGCCAATGTACAATGTTGTGATGGCCATCTTGGCACTTGCCCCAGTGGACCATGCCTTGGCACTTGCCCCGGTCCCACCCCCTTCTGCCAGAGACCCTCAGATCTGTCCCACTCCTGCCCAGGGCCTACATAGGCACCCTTGATGCGAATGATGTAGAACTGGCCACGCCCATCCAGTAGGCCACACCCACTCCATCCACACCCACCCATTAGGCTGCACCCACTCTGGCCACACCTACCTGCCCCCCCCAGGGCAACCGCAATGCTGATGTGGCCCTCAGTGAAACTGAGTTTGACATCCCTGCTCTAGAAGTACCACAAGTAGCTATTAGATCTTTTCTTAGTTTTTTTCCTACAATGAAAGAGTTGAAAAGAGTGATGAGAAAACACCGAATTACAGATAGGGATTGATACAGCCTGCGCCTCTGTACAATTCCTCAAATTTTACATATGAAAAATCTAGAACCACTTCTATCAGATAAAACATTTATTGCAAAATGGTCCTTGCAGAATTTTATCAAATACCTAAATAGCATCTTTCATTATATTCCATTCATATTTCTTTTTTAATCTAAAAAAATCAAATAAGGAAAGAACAGAAGCATGTTTTTTTATTGACAATAATGTAAGTTCTCTATTTGGAAGCATAAACTGTTTAATAGAAAAAAATGTGGAAAAACATCACATGAACCCTTGCAAAACATTTCATGAATGAAGCAGGATAAGTGTCAAAATAGTTTTAACAGTTTTCAGTTTCCAATTAGTTTCACTAATAGAAGTAGTTTTGTCATTTAACTCTGTCTTTTCTTCAGGACAGTACCCATTGGTAAGCTGATTCATTAATTATATTTGAGCACACAGACATCTTGCACCAGGTCATGCTGGTATACACTAATTCTGATTCCCTCTTTATCCCACAGATAGCTCAAATACTATGAAAAATGGTCAGAAGGACATTTATTGAGAAATGGTGTAAAAAATCCTTAAGATAATTGGGCGTCAGGCTGAAAAAATGTAATACATTTGTTAGTTACTAATAAAGGAGAATATTTGTAGCTCAGGGTTGAAATGAGGGGTCCTTGGTGCTCTCTGAGCTTAGTTGTTTTCTTGCAGACATTTCATTACCCAAACTAGGTAACATCATCAGCACCAGCACTGATGTTACTTAGTCTGCAAGAAAACAGCGAAGCTCAGAGAGCACCAAGGACCCTTCATTTGTTGGTTACTCAGAGAGCTCTGTGGTTAAGCCAAAATTAAACCTGGGTTCCCATAATATATTCAAGCTATAGTCAGTTAGCCCTTCTGAAAGGCAAAGAGAATGAGGTTGGCTCTTATCTCCCGTGGCAAGGTGTTCCAAAGAGCAGGAGCCATGGCAAAAGAAATGCTTTTCTCCTAAACCTGAAATTCCTTGACCAAAGGGGTGGCAGCAAGCCCCACCTGCCAGAAATATGTATATAAACATCTTTTAAAAATAGATATATTCAGATGGGATTTTTTTGCATATGTACTTGATCCTGCTTACCTGGGATTCCCAGACATCCCACTATTCAATCCACATTCACTTCAACAGTTATATCCTTAGTGCCCCTATCCAAGGAAATACATTTAGAGTTGGGTTATATAGGTAGTCCTTGACTTACAACCATTCATCTAATGAATGACCATTCAAAGTAACAATGGCACTGAAACAAGTGACTTACAACCAGTCCTCACACTTATGACCACTGCAGCATCTCCACAGTCATGTGATCAAAATTCAGACACTGAGCAACTGGCACATATTTACAATGGTTGCAGCATGCCAGAGTCATATGGTGCCCATTTGTGACTTTCCCACCGAGCTTCCGACAAGTGAAGTCAACGGTGAAGCCAGAATTCCCTTAATGATCATGTGATTCACTTAACGATTGCAGTGACTCACATAATAACCATGGCAAAAAGATCATAAAATTGGGTGTGAATCACTTAATACCCCCTTGCTTAGCAACAGAAATTCCAATTCCAATGGTAGTCATAAGTTGAGAATTCCTTATATACCGTATATGCCGGCGTATTAGGCGACCCGGCGTATAAGACGACCCCCGAGTTCGACGCCGGGTCGCAAGACAATCGACGCCGAGTCGCATATAAGACGACTTTCTAGGCATGCGACTCGGCGTCGATCATCTTATACGCCGGAAATGACGTCATTTCCGGCGTATAAGATGACTTTCTAGGCATGCGACTCGGTGTCGATCATCTTATACGCCGGAAATAACGTCATTTCCGGCGTATAAGATGATCGACACCGAGTCGCATGCCTAGAAAGTCATCTTATACGCCGGAAATAAACGTAGTTTATAACGTTATTTCCGGCGTATAAGATGACTTTCTAGGCATGCGACTCGGTGTCGATCATCTTATACACCGGAAATGACGTCATTTCCGGCGTATAAGATGATCGACACCGAGTCGTATGCCTAGAACGTCATCTTATACGCCGGAAATAATAAATAAATAAATAAACGTTATGACTCGGCGTATAAGACGACCCCCGAGTTCGGAGGCTGTTTCATCGCTCTCCAAAGTCGTCTTATACGCCGGAATATACGGTAGTTAATTCAGACAAATAATAGGCTGCAAATCAATTCAGTTCAACTGAAGTTAATTGCATTTAATTTCTATATATATCTTGTGCCTGGAGTTTAATTATGCTGTTTTGTTTATATTTTCATAGGTCAAAATGATTATACCTGTGAGATGCTTCACTTGTGGTAAAATAGTTGGAAATAAATGGGAGGCATATCTTGGCCTTTTGCAAGCAGAATATACAGAAGGGTATGCATTCCCGACTCCTATATTTTCATAACTATTTTATAAGATAAGCAACAATTGTATTAATATAACAATTTGGATTGGAATATAATATTTAAGTATATTATTTCCATGCCACTGAATGCAAATGTTGCTAATGAGAAATGTGTGCTGGAGGCTTTGGTTGATTGTTTATACAGGATAAGCCATTGTTTAATTATTCCCTTGTAGTGTCCTGTTAGAAGTGTATTTCTGAGTAACATTTTAGTTTATTATATTACAAAACAGATCAAGTAACTGATTTTAAAATATTAATCTTGTTCCAGTAGCTCCTAATACTGATGTATTCTTTAAAAAAAAAAGCTTGCTTACTTTTGCAGTCATATAACACTGTTTTTCAATAATAGCAATTAAATGGCACATTATGTTGAATCCCATTATTTACTATAAAAGCCTGAGAAATATTTCTTCCATTGACTGCTAGTATTTGGAAAGTATTGTCTATTATTCTCTTTTGTGCTATATTCACCATTTTCCTTACCTTGGTAGAATTGTCTCTGTTGCAGTTAATCATGCTGTGATAGCCATTGATTTTCCATTGCGAATACAGAATTGGAAACTGAGGATCTACAGCCTGAAATTAAATAGGATATTACTAAAATATTTGCATGATAAATACGTCTGATTGAGTGTATGCCTAAATTCTCTTGCAATTTTTTGTATGATTTTAGATTGGCCAAGTGAGCATACAGTGCATAATTGAATTCCTCCTAGCAGCAGAATTGTCTGTAGTAACTGTTGTCTGATAATTTTCAGAACACTCAAAAATGTCAGATATTGTTAAAATAATTTATTGTAATAAAAAAGAGTCAGGTCACCTGAATAAGCTAGTTGTCCAGAGATGCAGAGATTCTGCCATATTTCAAAATGTTGCTTTTCACTTACATTGAATTTCTTCAAATAGCACTGACTAAAACCAATATTGAACAAAAGAACATAATCATTTCTGCTTAATTGTTTAGCTCCATATTATCAGATGTAGGGTTTTTAAAAGCTGGAGCATGGGTTCGTAAAAATTGGTATATGACAATTCTTTTGCAACTCTCAGCTTTTCTGCAGTTTTGGTGAAAATTAATGTGTTTTTATGCATTTCTACTCAGAAATAAAATCCTTGGAGTTCAATAAAATCATCTCCATATAAGCTTATACAACTCTGCAATCTATGTATGCTGGAATTTTCATCAAAACACTAATAAAACAAATACAACAATTATAATACATCACTATTAAAATGTGTAATGATCTATTTTTAGTTTTTTTGTTGTTGGAATAGATTGGAGGTTGAACACTGTGAAGAGGATTTCATTTGATGTGGAAATGTGGAAATTGTTGGGGAAGCTACAGATTGTCATTTTGTGTTTATCATTTCTCTGCTTATATTTTTTAGCTTCCACTTACTTGATCTGTGAGGGACTGCCATCTCAAACTGAATGTTAAATGCTCTAAATATTTTATGCGTACAAACACATCCTTACCCAAATCATGAGCTGTACAGGTAGTCCTCAATTTATGACCCATCCTCGAAGTTACGATCATGTGATTGCAGTTTGCACTTAGCAATCACCTCACATTTATGACAATTGCAATGTCTTGCAATCATGTGATCACGATTTGTGACCTCAGCCAGCTTCTGACAATGAAAGTCAATTGGTGAAGCAGATTTTCACTTAATTACCATATGATTCTCCTAAAAACGGTGGTGATTCACTTAATCACCATGGTAAAAAATCAGGTTTGGTCACATGTTTACTCACTTAATGCCCACATCACTTAATGACTTAAATTTTGATCCTAGTGGCTGTTGTAAGTCAAGGATTACTTGTAGTCTCTCATTTAGAATGTAATATTTCCTTACATGTCAAAATATACAATAATAACACTTGAAAAATGCCACCTTTTCTCAGAATATTGCTATCCTTGTTAGTGCCTATGACTCTGTCATCTGAAAGATGCTAATTAGTCCCTATGGAAATCCTGGATTTATATAGAATAGAAACAAATGGAATATTTACCTGGAAGGTCAGGATTAAGCCCAGATAAGCTGTTTCCACTAAATAGAGTATGAATGTCAAACTCACTGCGTCACGTGACGTGTCGTGACTTTTTTTGCATTGCTGGAGCTAGGGTGGGCATGGCCTTCATATGATGCAACCGGCCCATGGGCCGGCGGTTTGACACCCCTGAAATAGAGGCTGAATAGCTACATCTGATCTCGAGAGCTGACAGAGCCTAATGAACAAGTATTCATCTAAAACCAACATACAGTTTCCCATCCCTCCACCTGAATAATGCTCTGCACTCATTAGAATGATAAAATCAGAGTGATGCAATCAATCCAGGATGATACAGCAAGGTCTGATAGTTGAAATCATTACAGAGCAAGGAGTTTCTCCCATATTGCATTTATACCACTGGGGGAAAAAACTAAATGCTTTTTCTTGAGAGTGGCACTACACCCAGCATTGCAACATGTGCCCTGAAATTAATTTGAATGAGTAGTTATTGGTTCAGTAAATTATTTTTGTGTTTCAATCCTGCCCTTTTTATAGAATGGGGATTCTTGCAGGCATATGCATAGACATGTGTTCATAGGCAGATGTGTCTCTCACACAACGCACACAGTGATAGCATGAAAAGACGATTTGTCACAATTATTTTCAGGTAGAGTTGACAGTCATAGCTTGAAAAGGAGAGGAAGCTAGGAATTACAAAGGATTCCTGTCTTTTTCTCATTGTTTACTCTTCTGTTTTGAAACAGGCTATTTTTATGTTCAGAGTCTTTCTTTGTATAAATACAATATTGTGCAGTTGGGGAGGAGAAAAAGAAGAAGTTGCTGGAAAGTGCTAGAAGCCAATGCTGCGTGTGACTTTTGTGATAGAATTTTTAAGCACTGGGGTGGAAAGAAAATAAGCAAATCATAGATCTAAAAGTTCCCCACATTTTCTTTTTACATTTTCCTGTAGGGCAGAAGCCATCTTTTACATCTGTCTGGTTAAGAAGATAAGATTTGAAGTAGTCAAAAGCATCTTTTTTCCCCAAACAAATAGCCTTGGTTCTTCGATCAAAACAGCAGTTCCTCTCACTAGACTATCAAGACACCAGATGTGATTTTAAGTGGGAATGCTCAAGGCAATCAAATCAGACACATGTTTATGAGTAGAAAAATCTAAAAACTAGTAATTGATCCAAGTAGAATTAACAGAGCATTTATGAGGCAACTTCTTTCACAATTTTTTCCCCTAATGATCTCTGATTAGTTCTTAGTTGCACTGTCCTCTGTTGCGGATGCTCACATTCTCTTTTTCTCTCATTCTTGTTCCCTTTGTGGATGAGGCCTTGAATTTGTATTTATTTTGGGGGGATCTGATTTAAGCATGATGCTTTTCTTTAAAAAAATACTATTGCTTTTGTTTGTTCCTAGTGATGCCTTGGATGCTTTGGGTCTGAAAAGATACTGTTGTCGCAGAATGCTGCTTGCCCACGTAGACCTGATTGAAAAGCTCCTGAACTATGCCCCACTGGAGAAATAAATATGAAGAATTTATGGTGCTGCATGTACATGAACCAAAGTTTTTACAGTTCTCAGGCGAAACTGCTGGGATTAGAAATCAGATTGGTAATCTGTGGGAAATTCCTTAGCCACTTAGCATCACCCCCAAAAAATGACTTAATGAATTCCACCTAGACAGTTGGGGATTGTGCTTTTAATTACATCAGGGATTTTGTCAGTTTCTAAGTATATTAGAGTCTTTTCTATTTTCAAATATGGCAGTTTGAAAAAGAAAACAAATGTTGAATTACAGTCAGCAGTTGTAATGAAGTTTTATTAAAAATATTTTGGTTAAACCAGTTCCCATCGTCTTATTCTAAATCTCATTCATGAATATATGGATTGCATTTCAGCCTCATTCAGATTGCTGACTTAGGCATTTACACATGATGAATTCCATTTCAGTGTTCTTCCACATTATTACATGATATCTTAAAAACTAATAATAATATGTGCTATGGGTTGTCAAACGAAAAATAAAATTAGGAAGGGCAGGGAGCCTCTTCAGAAGTGACCTTTGTATATACCAATAATTTCAACATATATTTTGACTTTGCAGGAAGTAATCTGTATCTGATTAATTAGATAATAGAATATTTTTCATTACATATGCCAGAACGTAAACCTGACAATCCATTTTCTAGAGCTGTGGCAAACAGACAAAGGTAGAGAGAAAGTGAGCAGCTTAGCTTTATGATGAGCAATTATCTTTCATGGAAATCATTACATCCAAGAAGGAATAGATTAACCAGATGCAAGTCGTAAGTAATCTATATAGATGTGTTTGTTATGCAAGTCATAAGGAAACAAAATGGTTACATGGGTCAGTCACCGGGACCAGAGGTTTTAGTCTTCCGAGCTTTGAGACTTGTACTGAAGCCCATCTTCAGGGAACTTTTCTCTCACCAGAATGTCTCTTGTTCATCCTTAATGTAATTCAGAAACTTTGTGTCTGTCAACCAAAAGATACTGCCTTCATGTTGAATATGTTTTTGACAGTTCTGGAGTTGGTTTTTAATCATTAGAGTTGAACTGGAAATCAGCACTCGTATTTTCTGTTTTGGAATCATTTGAGGGAACTTAGAAAATAAATATGTGCTCCTTGCCAAATAAATATAGAAGAAATTGTAAATTATTCAGCTTACAAACTGTAGAAAACAAAATGCGCAATTAATTGAGTTAGAGGTAAAGATGTCTTCCTATTAGCCAGCAAAATACTTTTGGATGTTTTCAGTCATTTTGAGTACTGCTGTGGTGCAAGTACAATCCAAAACCATTTTGGACTGTAGCTATCCAGGTCTGCTATAACAGCCTTGAGTTCCAACATAGCACAGTGCCATTTTAGAGATGGCAAACAGCTTAGAGGAATTGATATTTTATCAACTTACAGACATTGTTCTATCTTTTTAAAAAATAATTACTAATATTTCCTGCAAAGACATAATAAAGTTTTCCTTTTTTTATATATTATCTTCAGCAAGCCCAGACCATGTAAGAAAAGTCACCTATTAAAAAATTAATAAATAAAACTAAAAATACAAGAAAAGCTTCCTTCTCTACATCAGGGATTAGTAAAGCTTCTCTGGAATAATAGTAATAAGGATTCAATAAAAATGCCAAATGCAGTCTAAACATCTGGCTGACTACAACCAACCACAACATAATTCAATTCGTAAAGCCATCTAATACAAAATGTCTCAAGGCAATGTATAGCGGATGACAAACATTAAAAAAACCAAGTATCGTAATAACTGCAGAGCAGGGAAATATACAGAAAACATCAAACCACGCAGGATCACCAAATCCCGATAACTTGCTAAACATGTCAGTTGTTAACCATCCCTTTAGCTTCACATTCCCTCAAAGTATCCAAATCCCCTTCATTTAATAATAAATAATAAACATATGCCAAAGGAAAACTGCTTCCATAAGCCAATGGTACATTACATTAAGGAGTGTATGTACCTTGCTGAAACTAAGAAAATCAGTCTGGACAGTACTTTCAGTTGGAAATAATCTAGCAAATCCATATATCATGTTTTGGTGGCATAAATATAATAAATGAGGTAACACTATTCCCAAGTGTGGTATTAAAAGATTTGGAGAACATCAGTTTCTTAGGCTCATCGTTATACTTCAAGAAATTATGGTTATGTAGCTTGTACCAAAATGACCAGCAAAGACAGGTGCATATTTAGCTACTTTGTCTAGCTATTTTCAGTTCCTTTTAGAACCCCATTTTTTTTCAAACACTCTGACTAGCTTTATCAATTTGCTTTAAAAAAAAAACTATTTTAGGAATATTTAAAAACTTCTAAGCATTATTCTCATGTCCTCCTTTCTTTACATGTTAATCTTCCTTTTTTCATTTATTACTGGGGATGCAAAATATTGTTTTTTTATCCTCCAGTCTTTAGCCATTTAAAATGTTCTGTTATATTTTAAACCTCATGCTGAATCCTAAAGCAAAGGGCATTAAGTGATTAATTTTGGCATTTGTGTTTCATGGTTGGCTGGAGAGCTTATGTTTTTGTAAGCTTGTAAATTATCTAGGAAAATAGCTTTTTTAAAAAAAAAATAACATTCTGTTTCAGGCCGCACGCTTCTGGAATTTATTAAAGAGAGTTACCATTCCTTTGCTTTTACCCCTCCACAGTTACATTTTTAGGATATAAAGTTCCACTAGTTCCAGGTGCTATAGTTGGGTTGTTGTTTTTTCCAGAATCTCTGCCTTCCAGAAGAAAATTCTGGGTTATTCTCCATTTCAATCCAACATTTCACTGAGACAGCCTCCTCCCTTATGTCCCAGGTTATATTGCTAATACTGTACCATATAAAAACTACTCTTGATAACACCAGAAGGCATCAAGGTAGTTTAAGATGCTCTCTTGTGCCTACCACATTAAAGCTGTAAGTGGGGCTGAAGAAAATAAGGTATAAGCAAATAAAAGGTGTAAAGATGAACCTAATCCCTTAGTCAAAGTGTAACACCTGATCCAGCACAGTGGGATAGATTAGCAGTTCTCAAACATTAAATCTCAGGACCCCCTTTACATTGTTTAAAAATGAGTGAGGAAAGAACTTTGATTTATGTGGACTATATGTATAAATATTTGTATTAGAAATTAAAACTAAGAATTTTTTAAATATTTATTTGACTTCGTGGACCCCTGAAACGCTGTTGGAGACCCCCCCCAGGGTCCCCAGACCACACTCTGAGACCCACTGGGATAGACATGTGCATGTGCATGATATAGCTGTGAAACACGTAACTGCACCAAATAAAACGTTTGATTAATCACTATGTGTTTTGTTAACTATTCCTTGTTACAAAGATGAAAATTTGACCTGTAAAACTTAAATATGCAAATGGGAATTAAAAAGTATTTCCACTGCAGACATTAAGCAATAAAAGTAATTAGTACTGAAGACATGCTAATGTGCATTTGCAGAGTTACAAGGATTTGTCAGAGAGCATGTACCACAGCTATTTATTTACCATTTCAACATGATCATCAAGATTTTAATTTTAAACTGGGAAAAGATCATTTTCCCCGTGTGTTAAATTTGCAGAGGGTATTTTACTATGGGTTTTGAAGATTCTTACCTTTTAGAGAGCAAATGCAGTACTACTGTAATAAAGGGAAATTTTGTCCTCTTGAAATGAAAAACCTAAGATTGATTCTGTCACATACAATCCCCAAAAGGGGTGTCCTTATCTTCTTTGCTTTCTTCAAAATTAAAGGGTAATTATTTCAAGGATAGTCTATTGTTTTTGCTGCCACCAGAAAACCATTTCCATTTCTTTCATTTTTCTCCTACATTTATTTATAAATATTTGAGGTAAAGTGACTAGGAAGAATGTGGGAAGGGTATAAGACCAGCACAGTTTGTGTTGTGTCCTCTCTCTCTCTCCCTCCCTCTCTCTCTCTCTCTGTGTGTGTGTATGTGTGAAAGTGTGTGTAAGCTGCCCTCCTTGCCTTCTGCTATACTAAATATATACTTATAAATCTGTCCTTTTGACAGATGGACTTTTTCTAGGGACTATGGCCTTCCGTCCAATCTGTCTTTCCACCCACACTTCCCAAATCCCTCTGTTCATAATTCCTCCAGAATATAAACTGGGAGGAGATGCTCTGTATTGCCACACTTTGATGACAGTCATCATATATTTACACCTTGTGTTTAGCAATTATGCAACTTGTTTCTTTTTTGCCCAATGTGATGTGTAAATGATAAACCATGGATTTTCATTGTTATAGAATGATTGATACCCACACCAAACCAAAAACAAATGCACAGATCTATGTACTTAGTCCTGTGTCTGTCAGTCAATCAGTTGGATCTCTAAACAGTTCAGGAACAGGAGCTTCACTGTAGAGGAATTGTTCACAGTCTGGTCTCCTGATGTCTGAACTCCAGCTAGAAGAACAAATAACCAGTGAGAACAAATAACAATTAACAGTGGGAACAGTTAACCAGTGGAATGGCTTACCTCCAGAAGTTGTGGGTGCTCCATCACTGGAGGCTTTTAAGAGTCTGGACAGCCACTTGTCTGAAATCGTATAGGATCTTCTGCTTGAGTAGGGGATTGGACTACAACAGGGGTCCCCAACCCCCGGTCAATGGACCAGCACCAGGCTGTGGCATGCCAGCAAACGGTTGCACAAAGAAGCAAAGCCCCATCCATGGGATGCAGGCAGTACATGAAATCACACCCCCTCCAGTCCACGGAAAAACCTCTCTCCACATAAACGGTCCCTGGTGCCCAAAAGGTTGGGGACCTCTGGACCAGAAGACCTCCAAGGTCCTTTCCAACTCTTATTCTGTTAGAAATGAAAGCTGAAATGATGTTCCTGCAGGTGGTGAAACTGGGACGGTGACTGAATAGGTGAACAAAGGTCTCATCAAGTTGTGCATCACACCAGGCACCATAAGTGTACATAAGTGAGGAAAAAAAATACTACGTGCAAGTTGTAAGACTATACTGTTAACAAACATGCATCTGATAAATTTATCCAGATTATACAACCACAAAAATTATTCTGACTTCAAATACAATCTAAGAGAGAAAAGCAGTCTCAGGAAGTACTCTGTGTTCTGACAGTGGCCTTCAGCAGGTCACCATCAATCTATTGTACTTTACCTTGTCATCAATAGGAGGATAATATGGGACATGTTGCTCTAGCCAGAGGTAAGCAACCTTGGCTCTTTTATTCCTGGCTGGCTCAGGAATTCTGGGAGTTGAAGTCCACAAGTCATAAAAGAGCCAAAATTGCCTACCCCTGCTTCTAGC